TGGAACAAGGAAGAAAATCTTTTAAAGATATATGTATATGGCAACAACCATTCACATACTCTATACTACATGTTTAACTGCTTGAGACAAACATGCCATAGAACCCTCAACAAAGAAATTATTCTTAATAATTATATTTAAAAATAAATGATAACTGAATCATTATGAATTATTTATTTATAATACTTTTAATTATTATTATTTTTACTTTTTTATATAATGACTTACCTACAATGACTTGTAATTTATTACAAAGTCTAACACTTAAGACTATAATTGTCATAATTTGTTATTTTACCATAGCAACTAAATTGTTTACATTTGTTGAATTTATGCAGTTACAAAGTGAGCTAAATGATTAAAAAAACTCACCACTCGCGCTCTTAAAATTATAACAGTTTCAGGTAGGCAAAAGTTCAATGCAACAAACTTAAAAAACAGAATAAAAATATTTATTGCGAAAAACCGGCTTTTTGCTTCCGCTCAGCTGTAAACTCTCACTTCGTTGCTCTCACTTGTAGCTTTTCCGTTGTTTATTTTTGTAGGAGGCTTGTTTGCAATGTGCATTAGGTTCCCTCTTCTTAACAATAACAAAACAAAGTGGTTGGTTAAATTTTTAACAGTGGCTGGCAAGTGATGGTAAATATTATTTGATATATTCACTAAATTAAAATTCAAATTTGGGTTGAATATAATTTACTAAATAATTTAATAAATATTTTTTATTCTTATATTTATAGAATAATTGAAATTTTAATGAGCATTTATTGTTTGAGAGGAAAATTCAATCGTTAAGAAAATTGAATACTCTAGCTCAATAGAGTACCATGCATAAGATTAGTAAAATTATTTTTAAGTTCTATTTAGAAAGATTCAATAAATAAATAAATTAAAAAAAAAATTTGGAAAATATTCATAGTTATTAAGTTATAAAAGTATAATACCTTTTAGGCAATAATAAATAAATACTTAATAACACATTTGATATTAATTCAAATTTAATTTATTATTTAAATTAGTTTTAATTTATTTATTTAATTTAATTTTTTATTTTAATTAACTTTAATTTATTTCTTACTTTTATACAAAATACAATCCACATAAAATATTTTATAAACAATCCTCCCCTCCTTGACTAATAAATCTAAAACTATTCAAAGCCCACAGCATATTTATTTGAAAAAAATTCACCACGATTTGTAATATTTATAAAATTGTTATACTCAACATTTTAAGAGTAAATTTTATGATTTTTATTACAACCAATACTTCACTACTCTTTGTAAATGTGTTTTGTGTTTTTTAGTTATTCAAAGTAAAAAATTGAATAATAAAAAACAATAAAAAGCACACAAAAACAAAAATAAAAACCAAAAAAAAAATTGCACTACTCACAGTTGAGTTGAGCACCAACGCGCAACGCATTTTGACGTATGTGTTTAGGCCAAGAATTGCCGCACAAACATACGAACATACAAACATACGAAGCACTAACAACAAACAAACAACCAAAGCTAGGCAGCAAACATTTATGCACAAAATCAACCACACACGCACGCACATACCCAACATACAAAACCAAGCACGTACACGAAACCAAAACCAAAACCAAAACCAAAACTAAAGCTAAAACCAAAGCCAAAGCCAAAAATAATGCGAAATTCAACAGTAAAACCAGTTCAAGCAACGACACCACAACGACAACAAATCAGTTGAGCTTTTGAAAACGACGGTGGAAGGTGTACGTTTTATGCGCGCGTGTAATTTTTAACTATTGTTTATTGCAATTCAATTAAAATATTAGCAAAAATTATTACAATTATTACCAAAAGAATATCGTAAAAATAATTACAACAAATATTCGATTGACACTACGTCAAGTGTTTTTGTTTAGTGGTAATGTTTTTTTGTTTTTTTTGTTTAAATTATATGTGCATTTTCATTTACAGTTTTTATGTTCATTTTTACATATTTTTTTCTTAGTTTTTTCTTTAATAAAATCAACAAAAAATAACAACAAAAAGTAAAAATTAAATTCATTTTGTGGCTGCAAATGAGTTTTTTTAAAAAATATTAATTAAATTAATTTGTTATTAATGTGACTAAATTTAATTTTAAATTACAGTCGAAATTAGTGTTAATTAAAAAAAGATACAAAAATTTAATTAAAAAGAATTATTAAATTATAACTGCAATAAAACAAAAACATGTGAAGTTGCTAAAATATTTTTAAGTCGTTGTTTTTAATTAATTAATTAATTAATTACTTAATTAATATAATAATTTTTCAAAGTGACTATAAACTTATTAAAATATACAAACAAATTTATAAATAAAACTGGATTTAATGAAAAGTAAATCTACTGAACTATAAATGAAGATCTCATATGAGGTTTGGTTTCTATAAAGAAAAATTTACTTTTATTTTGAACTTTTAAATTTTAATAAAACAACAATTCATAATAGAATATATACTAAAAAAATAAAAAAGTAATAATTGCAATCTAAAATATTTTAAATTTCTTATCGCACTGAAGAGCTCAAAATGTTTAGTGCCTTGAGATAATGAACCCATAACATCGGGTTAAGGAAATTATAACAAATCAAAGATAATTATCTGAATATCTGAAGATTATCTATAAAACAGGGGGTGTTACTTAAACTCATTAATAATTGTATAGAATACTTATGAGGATTTTGGATTTCATTGTTCAATATATAATGCTTGTTCGATCCAAATACCTTAATTAGAATTCTGTCAGTATGGGAAACAGTTTCTCATTACATAAAATATCTAATAATGGATCAATTAATTGTCGATCTAACCTGATAGTGCTAGAAACATTTTGCAAGAAATCAATTACAAAACAATTTCATTCTAAAATAATCCACTAGAAATTATATAAAAATATAATGGATACTCTATTCATATATGATATTAGTTATTCTCTTATATATGATAGATACATATATGATACATATATAATATTTTTAGGTATTACTATTATATGACTGTCAATCAATCTAATTAAAACTTTGCTGCACTCGAATACAAATAGATGAGTCAGTTGCTCCATTCCATACCTATAAAGGGGTAGTTGTCTTTATGAAGCCCAAGTTATTGCCTTCCATCTATTAATGGGTCGAGTTTAGACTTCACACTACATATTATATGTAATATTATATATGTATGTTATTATATTATTATATATTATATGTGTATGTATATGTAAGTTATTGTAATCCAATCTTGTAATTCTAATAGCTGTTAATATAATTGATTGCCAACTTTATACAGTACTGAAAAATTAAATAAATCTTGTTGAAATATTAAGTAAAGATATCCTTACATATCTAAAGCAGTTTAAAAAGTATGACAGTTTATTACCTGTATCATTTCAAGTACTTAAATAGATAATATATATCGGCAAAAAATTGATTTGATATTAACGTATCAAATCGTATTTAATATATATCGTATTGAATATTTTATAAAATTTATAGCAATCGTATTTTTCTATATCTATTTAGAGATTTTTTTTTTTTCAATATATAGTACATACATATTAAATATATATCAAAAATAATCCATTTCATTACTGCAACTACTTCTATTGATGTTATAAACGCTTATTGTTATTTGGCAGCTTAGTTTTAGTATTTATATATACTTATTGTAGCTTTGGTAAGGAGATACTATGGTTTACTACTATTAGGACATTCTACTCTTATATAGTTGAATAATTTTTATTTACCATTGCATATGGAGTTTGTGCGACAAGAAAATAACTTTTCAAAATCAAGGAAGTATCAAACAGATACTTCCCACTCTATATTATTTTTCTTAAAATCGAATTTGAATTGAATTGAACATCGAAGCTTTAAGTAAACCATAATGCTAAGAAGTCGGATATATGAGAAATTATGGTAGATATGGTGTAGCACAAGAAAATGCTTAACGTCCTAAACTAGACACAATTTATACATCAGGCATTTCAAGAACGGACAATATATTGTTAGCGAAGAAAGTTTTCCACTTCATTGGCATATAGGAAGTAATTTAATTCTCAGCATAGAGAATAAAATAGTTCTTTACAAAGCAATATTTACACCAATCTGCATTTACGTGTTAGAGCTTTGGGGTTCAATCAGCTATTATTATGTTAGTATTAGTAAAGTATTAGTAATGTAATTAGTTGATTTAATTTCTAATAAAGTCTACTACTCGAAAACATTTTTGTGCTCTACACCGTCGTTGTACAGCTTACTGGTATTAGGGGGAGTAGTACTAAACATATTTTTATTTTTTACGCTGATGGAATAGCGTATATTTTGTCTTTTGTAGACTTTAGTGGTAATAGGCTGTATTAACTCCAAAAATAATTTTTAGTTTTCCACCGATGACCTTAGTGTTCTCTGCCGACAGAAGGCGATGTAGTTTGTGTCTTCCGAAACCTTTTAGTAGTTTTTTTTTTGTTTTTTTTTTTTGCGACAAGGAGGAGTGGAATGCCTACGCACTGACCACAATCCGGCGCCCCGGAAGGTGAGTGCCCGACTCGCACGGGTTAACCACTCCCCCTCATTCCTAGAGACCTTGTTCTACCCCGGAACTACGTTAGTATTAGGATCCCTATTAGTCATTTAAGACTTCCATCGGTGTGCCCTGCGTCCAGGCCCCGCTATTGTTGCCGATAATTAATCTTGCCCTACAGTCTACTTTTTTCAATCTCAGAGTATGTGTTCCGGCTCTCACTCCTGATCTTCGCTTAAGATTAGATTGCGTCCTGATCTTTCTTCTTTTCCCTTAAAACATTTCGGATGAATAAACCTTTTAGTAGTAGGCAGCAGCAAGTCCACAGAGACCATTGTACTATGGAGCATCTGAGGGAGGATCTATTTTGTCCTTCATTAAACTTATTGATCAATTTTTTAGCAAGAAAGCAGAATATTTTTATGAATTGAATAGGCTTGTGTTGTTTTAGTTAAAATTAATGCTTTTCTGAAATAGTCTATGCTGTTTAATCGGCTGAAGAATCTTGTCGTTTAATTACACGGTTGAAGAAATTAAGGAAACTTGCAAAAATCCATCAATAGATTTCTCATCATATTATTTACTACCAGTACATAGTCTCACTTGCATTATTTTGGCATATGATGAATTGCGAACCAAATGATTTTGTTTTTTATTCTGACATGTATTCTGCCATTAATTGTTATTACATTTTCCATTAAATGTAGGTCCCCAATATCGTAAAGTATTTGAATAATGATGAAAGCCATTATTTGTAACAAACAGACCCAGATTCCGAGTATTCCATTGAGTCACTAACAATTCTGAAATTATTTTAATGTGCTTGTTGCCTACATGTCTTTAATATTTTTATTCACATTATACTAAGAATGCATATTGCAACTACAAATTCATACCTGCGTTGCAGTATTGCACAGAAGTAACTCAACGAACACTGCTAAACAGGGTAGAATTCAGTTGCCAACAACTGGCAGTAAAGACGCAACTGAACAGCCTTCAAAAGCTGTGAATTTCTATGAAATACCTCGTCCAAAACAATGGAACCTTGCATTGTGCGTATGTTGTAGCTACCATGAAAAAGCACTTGAAACACACACACATACAAACACAAACACACATGCGTATTTTTTGTATGCAACTTCAACTGCGAGTGCAACTGCATCTGTTTTGTATCTGCACGAGTGTGTAAAATGTATCTCATGGATGCACACGCTTGCATACGAGTATCTGAAGCAGTGAAATTCGCTTTTGTTGGTTGCTGCTGCTTTTTGTCTATTGAAGCTTTTGTTTTCTTTTCATTTTTCATAAATTTAGTAGCGAAAACCGGTTGCAATTTCTATTTCTTTTTATTTTCTATTTATTGTAGGTTTTTATTTAATTTCAACGCTTTTTTCATACTGATATATAAAAAAATGTTCGATATCACATGAAAACGAGCTGCAAATAAAAGCAATGCTAAAATATGTTTTTATTTCTATTTTTCTTTGGCTGGTACGAAAAGCAAAAGTATCTGAAAAACGCAACAAGTTGAGTTCTTTGCTATAGAAAATTTCGCCACACTTTTGCATATTCATAATAATTTTTTAATAATGGAAATAATTTAATATTCAATTTTATTTGAATTTCTGCTATTTTATTTAATTTAGTATTTGTTTTTATTTTTTATTTATTTAAATTTGGTTTTCTTAAATCTTTTTTCAGCGTTGATTTTTATTGTCTTTAACGGTTCTTCTTTATTTTATCGAAATTTTCGCATTTTTAATTGGCGTTAACTACTTTCGACGTTTGAAGACGAGAGATAACGAAATTTTACTGCTACAGTTTTTAAAAAAATAAAAAAAATCACTTAATAAAGATTTTATGTTTATATACAACGAAAAAACAAAAGGAAAAAATACGTAAATTAATCGCGAATTTATTTACCAGCCTTGAAAGACGGATTTCTCCATTGAACTTTTATGCGAAGAGGTAAGTTCATTAGTAATTGTAAGTAGAATATTCAACATAAAATATATAAACACTTGTCTATACATCATAATTATCATTATACCAGATCCATATATAAGAAATATAGAAACGTACTTTGCCTGAGGTCGATCACATCTTAGATATAAATCTGCTAAACAAACTGTAGTAATCTATTTACTTGTTCCGACCAGCTCTATGGGGTTATTAAGTCGGTTGTTCAAAGTAGAAACCTCAAAAAGACTTTACAGTTTGTCTAGAGAGAGCCGTACAGTGATATAATAAATATACAATCGTTTCTTTCATACTCTCATTCTATCAATTTATACTATTTATCATTATTCTTATTACTACTTACCATATATACTATTTGAGAAACTAAATTATGAAGCATATCTATTAAACAATGACTTCTGTTAACGTACAGAAGAATATTAACACTACTTCTTGTTAAAATCACAGAGTTTTTGATCATTACTGGAATATTTTCGCTCCGAGTTGTCTTACTAAAATGGCTAAAAACTCAATGAGAGATACTCTGATATTCATTGAAGATATTAAATGTTTTCCGATTGGTTAGTATAGGTTCTTAGCACTATAATGCTATGCTCTCTATAGTAAAAGTTTTAAAATGAACAGAACTTCTTTTCAAAAAGGCTTCAAAAGCAAACACTCCAGTCTTCATTAAAGAAATAGAGAAGTAATTAGTAAGAAGGAATAAATAATGATGCAGTCAAATTGAAAATGGATTCTGTTTATTGCAATCTAAATGATATTCAATTTTTAAAATAACCGAGGTGCACTAATCCAATTATTTGGAAAAAGCCAACATCTGATGAAGTTAAAACTTTTACAGCTATCGTTTAAAACTTGCCAGATGTACAAAATATAATTGATTCTGTTCTGGCGTTATCCGATATTAGTCATACTTTTATTTTGGAATCGAATTTTCTGTTACTCTTCGTTTTCAAATATTTCGTTTTTCAAACAATATCCTGCCGATATCCCATATTAGTCCTGCTGTTATCGTAGAATAAGGTTTTTTGTTGGTCATGATTTTCAAATATTTCGTTTTTCAAACAATATTCTGCCGATATCCGATATTACTCTTACTGTTATCTTTTGGGTCAGGTTTTCTGTTACTCTTCGTTTTCAAATATTTGGTTTTTCAATCAATATCCTGCCGATATCCGATATTGCTCTTACTATTATATTAGAAACAGGTTTTCTGTTACTCTTCGTGTTCAAATATTTTGTTTTTCAAAGAATATCCTACCGATATCCGATACTAGTCTTACTGTTATCTTTTGGATCAGGTTTTCTGTTGGTCATAGTTTTCAAATATTTCGTTTTTCAAACAATATTCTGCCGATATCCGATATTACTCTTACTATTATATTAGAAACAGGTTTTCTGTTACTCTTCGTTTTCAAATATTTAGTTTTTCAAACAATATCCCGCTGATATCCGATATTAGTCTCACTGTTATCTTTTGGATCAGGTTTTCTGTTATTCTTCGTTTTCAAATATTTTGTTTTTCAAACAATATCCTACCGATATCCGAAACTAGTCTTACTGTTATCTTAGAAGCAGGTTTTCTGTTACTCTTCGTGTTCAAATATTTTGTTTTTCAAACAATATCCTGCCGATATCCGATATTAGTCTCACTGTTATCTTTTGGATCAGGTTTTCTGTTATTCTTCGTTTTCAAATATTTTGTTTTTCAAACAATATCCTACCGATATCCGATACTAGTCTTACTGTTATCTTAGAATAAGGTTTTCTATTACTCATAGTGTTCAAATATTTTGTTTTTCAAACAATATCCTGCCGATATCCGATATTAGTCTTACTGTTATCTTAGAAGCAGGTTTTCTGTTACTCTTCGTGTTCAAATATTTTGTTTTTCAAACAATATTCTGCCGATATCCGATATGAGAATCTGAGAGTACACCAATCCAGTGATCGTTAAGGATAGAAAATACGGGTGACCAATGATTTTTTCAGTAGTTCTGAATTCTAATTTAGTATACTAAGGTGCCAATAGATTTTTAAATTAATATTTGAGCTTCAGAGTGATTTATAACTTACTTCCCCGCTTTCTGAATTCCAGTGCTTCGTTCACTTTCATCGTCGTTTGATAATAGTATTTGGTTTTGTTTTTTTTTTTGGTTAGTTTAAAATAAAATCTGCATAAATAAATTTTCAATTGTAATTTTGTTTAAACATAAATCTTTCGTATCTTTTTTTTGGGTTTGTTTTTGTTTTGCCGATACTGAAATGCTGAAATGTAAAACAATGCATAACACAAATTTGCATATTTTATTTATTTTTGCCAGCAGCGAAACAAATGCTTTTTGAATTTTATTTTAATTTTTGTCAAATTGTCGAATTTTTTCCTGCATTTACTAAAAATAAAACGAAAACCGCTCAAATTCGTTGTGTAACGAAATCCGTTGCTGCTCGAATGCAACATCGAATTTGTAACCGAAATCTTGAATATGTGCTCAGATACTTTAATAAGGATTATAAGTATTTTCGTATGGAAACTCATTACGGATCTGGGTTTGGTGGGCGCATTTTAATTGTTGTATTTGCATGGAAACTGTAGCGCGACGTGCAAAACATTTGACACCGCGACTTAGTAGATAAATTATTTCCGAGATACAAATTTTGGTTTTATATAATTTTGTTGGCGCATAATTGTTGCTGTTGCGGTGAAAACAGCAAATCGCAGGCTTTAATAGTTATTTGTCGATATTTAGTTTGAATTATCATTTATTATTATTTTTGCATATTACATCTGAACAAATGACAAACGGAATGCATTCGATAATGTCATGAAATTATGCATTTCATACGCTTAAATGATTTATTTTGCTTAATTAAATCTATTAACATTCATTTGATTCATTTGGATTTTTATAAAAATTAAATTATATTTTTTCTTGATTCGGTTCAATTTTTGCAAAATTAATATGCATTCTTCAGTCATTTCCAAACAAATGCAAATAAAATTGCCGTTTGTAGTTTACATTTCATATGCTAAATAGTTTTAATATTATTTTTATGGTAAATTAAATTTGACTAATGAACTGTTAAATATTGCAGTTTTCATATTATTGGAAATACATAAATTTGTTGTATTTGTGATTAAAAAATTTAAAATGTTGCAATACCTTTCGTTCACAACTCTTCAAGCTGTTCAAGCTCTTCGTGTTTTATGTTGAACATAAAATTGACTAATAAATTTTTATATATTCAAATAATTAAGCAGAAATAATGTTTCTATAAATGTTATATATTAATTTAATTTTTGTAATATTTTTAGTGAATTTATTCAGTTATATACGAGTATTACCGAAGTTAATTTGCAATGAAAAGAATTAGTTTTTCGGGTTTACAGTTGAATCATTGCTTTGGCACGAGTGGATGCAGTTTTTATGATTGGCAATCTGAAGTGAAATATTGATAATCTTTGAAGTAATTAATGTAATTACTTTTATTTAGTTTTTGAAATTCAAATTTATAGTAATAAATTAAGACTTAACAGTTAACAGCTTATTTGTGAAAGAATTAATTTCAACAATAAAATAGAAAAATTATTTCTTTAATTACTAAGAGTCTTGTCTACTTCGAACGTTGACTAACTAGAATGCACGTGCCGTGGATCAAAATTAGGACGTAGTGAATCGATATATTGATGTAAAGATGAAGTTTATTTCCCAATGCATAGTTACATTTGAATATACCTATTTATTATTATTATTATTATGGATAGGCTGTGCATGCATTGCAACCTGAAAGATCTTTTGTACAGCCTTTCATCCAATTTCTAACATTCGAAGAATTTTGTCCCAATTGTGGGCCATATTTTAGCAAGGTGTTTAGGGCTCCACTTAGGGCAGACGCATAGAACGTATTCTGCTTTTCAGGAATCGTTTTCTGCTAAACCACTCTTTTTTAGATGCTGTTGCAGTCTACAATTGCCTGTTAGCAGTTGCGTGTAGAGTTTCTGTTCTGTTTAAGTTCAGAACACCTTCAGGCTTTATATGTTCAGAGATAATAAGCTGTGTTGGCTGTCACATGCGTTTTTGGGCTTTCCAGAAGTGGTTTTGAAGGTGTTATTAACACCGTAGAAGTGTTCCGGGCTCACAAAATATTTCAATATATTAAAATATATATAAATAAAGTTAAGAGAGATGTCTAGCACCCCGTACCATTAACATGATTTTTCTTGAAAGAGCGATTTTGTCTTTTTACCCATCTACTGTTGTAGATTCTAAAGTCACGAAACTATTTCTCTTCTGTTTTCGCATCTTCCTTCTATTTTGCGGCAGTACTTCGCTCAGTTGTTACCTCGAAACTGTGTTGATAACAATTTCTATTATGCTTCTACCGAAAGTAATCACTGTCATATACTATCATAAAAGTGTAAATCGCTTTCTTTACTTTCAATAGCATAGTATGTGCTAGGTAGGTATCAATCAGTGATCTTTAATGTAAGGAGGAAACTATAAAAGCAATTTAATTTACTCCACGAATCATCTATTAGTACTAGATCCTTTTAAGATAATGATGACATATCGGCTTAAAGTTCTGTCATAAGTTCTTAGATGTACGTTTTCAAAGCGTTAAAAGGTTGAGAATTTTTAGCATAAATACGATACCTGATGAAACCTTACAAAAAAAATCAAGTGTTAACAAAAATTCGATGTAAAAAAACGTAATCCTAATCTAATTGTTATAGTACAATTTTATCACATTCAGTGGTTAGCAAGCAATCCATTTTGCTCAAAGACAAACATTGAACCTTGTATGCCTAATGCTGTTTAAACTATGTTATTAAAGCAGTACAGCCAAATCAGAATATCCCTTTATAAGTCTTCTTAATTCCTTCATCTCCTTGTGGAGGTTAGGGCCTCAAGCCCTTATAAACTGTTGTCAACACATATAACGGTGACATAGCGAGATTTCCAACTAATCAATTTTAAGGAATACAT